TTCTATATTCTCTACTTCATCTATTATATCAATATAATCTGAATAACTTCTATCCATATAAATAATAAGATGAAATAATCATTAAAATAATTATTTGATCTTATTATTTTCATGCATAATAGAATATTGGTGGGGCACAGCACTTGGGTTTTCATTGCACACGCGAGCAAGACACAAAACTAATTATCTTCAATGCTTATTGATTGAAGCAATGGAAAGCCTGTTCCATTTTTATGATATTCACTGCCAGCATATCATAAAAAAGATGTTCCATTAATATTAAATAGAATATGTATTTAAACTATTTTCTTTAGTAAGTTTTATTGCAGTTGATAGACTAACATCTCTAATATTAATATCAATAACTTCTTGTACACTACTTATCATTTCATTTGTATACATATCGGGATAATCTTTCATAAAATTTACTAACTTTCTAAAATTAAAATCTAGGTTATTGTCATTTTCAATTGACGACTTGGATACTACGATATTTTGATTTTTAATTGCCGATAAAAAGTATAACATCGTATCATAATATATTTGTTCAGTGTCGGGCACTAAGATATCACCAAATTTATATATCCTCCGAATACTAGCCACTTCACTTAAATTAATAGATTCTATAGCCATTATGATATAATTATATTATATTTTTTTATTTTATAAGTATTTATAATATTATTTTTTATTATGCCTGATGTAAAACCAATTGATGAAATCAAATATGACTTTAAGCAAAGTAAGCATGAGGTTGTCCCTAAATTGCCGATGAGAGCTATGATCGTCGGTCCATCTGGAAGTGGAAAATCAACTTTACTTGTATCAATGATACTTGATATTTATAGAGGAGCATTTGAAAGAATTTTTATCTGGTCCCCATCAGTAAATTTGGATAGTATTTGGTTGCCTGTTAAAAAATACATTAAGGAAGGTTTGAAAGTAGATAATGATAAAGAACCGTGTTGGTGGGATGAGTTCAATGTTGAAGATTTAGAAAGAGTTATAGAAACTCAAAATAAAATAATTGAATACCAGAAAAAACAAGGAATGAAAAAGTTATTTAATATATTAGTTATATTGGATGATGTATCTGATAATCCAGCAATAACAAGAAATAACAAATTGTTAAATTCTTTATTCTGTAGGGGACGTCATAGTGGAATATCAACGCTTGTCAGTCTTCAAAAATCATCAACCGTGCCACCAATTATTAGAGTAAATATAAGTCATTTGTTTTATTATAAAGTTAGAAACTACAAAGAGATAGAAATATTGCAAGATGAATTATCAGCAATTGTTAGAAGCGATAATTTACACGAAAGCAAGAAATTAATTTATAAAATATATGAAACTGCCACTGATGAACCGCATAGTTTTTTATATATTAACCTTTTAGAAAAGAACCCAGATAAAATGTTTATGAAAAACTTTTCACAATAATTGAAAATAACTAATCAATAACATTAAATTTATTGTTTAATGTTTTTGATTTAAATTAATGAAGCGTTGCATAAATTCAACGCAGGTAATTTATATATTAGTTTGTCCGATTTTTGACTTTCTAATTTTTCTATTCGCGCCACACATTCTTGAATAGATTTAATTATTAAAGTATCCGCTCTTGTTTTTTCATCTACTCTTAAATTCTTAATGTCTTCCATACTGTTATTTTCATCGTTTTTACTTTGACCAATACCCATTATATATTATTATTTAGATTGTTTTTTTCAATTCCTTAATTTCTTTTTCTAATTTTTCAACTTTATCTATCACTTCCAGTAAAGCTTTATGTAATAATATTGGAACTTTTGTATATTCAATACCTAAATATTCACGTTCGGTATGAACTACATTACTAATTTCTTTCGGAACTGCTTTTAATAAATCATCAGCAATATAACCTATATGGATTGCATCCTTATTGTCTCTATCTTTTCTTTTGAATTTTTTAGGTTTGAATTTCTTAATCATACTAATACAATTACTTTTAAGTAAATCTACATCATATTTCAATCTTGCATCGGAATTATCTATTAGACTTCCATTTATGGTTACAGTTCCGGCAGTAATATCAATAGCATCACCTGAAGCATCTTGAATATCATTTACAAATAATGTTTTTGTATTAACAACTGTTACATTTTCATTAAAAGTCGATGGAGCATTATTTGTAAAACTTTCAGTATTTACTGTTGTTCCAAATGTCTTATCAATAGATAATAAAACAGAAGGGGTAGTAGAACTATCAGCAACTCTAAACGCTGTGTTTGATGTTCTAAATATTACATCAATTGTAGATAAACTAGTTCCATCGTAATAAGTTGATATTTCACTTGTTCCCATCTTTAGATCTGTTCCAGTAGTCATTGAAATATTATTCAAAAATGAAACCGTTGTTAAATCAAATGATTGAATGGTATTAGTTGCTAAATATGCATTTTGAACTGCTAAGTTAGTATCAACAGTTACTAATGTTCCACCATTAGGTGCTATATGATTACTTCTTAATGCTCCATTAGTTTTAACATAAATATCATCAGCAAATAAATTACCCATTACATCAGCAGTAGAAGTGTTAAAAGTCCATCCGGTAGAAATATTAACTGCTCCAACTATATTAGATTGAACGGCAGGATCTCCACAAATAAATCTAATTGAAGAATTAGCATCACTATTCCTCATATCAAAAGATGAAAAAGCACTAACATATCTATATAATTCACAATTTGTGTCAATTGTTAATTTACCATCAGTATCAATATTAACATTATCAATATTAACATTATCACAATTAACAGCGGCATTTGTATAAATATTACCTAACACATCTATAGGTTTACTAAAAATAGTTTTATTCACCAATCCATCACACATCATATATTGATTACTGGCATTAGTAATATCACCAACGCTAACAGCAACAAAATTAGGATGATGTATATAAAAACCTTCTGTTGCATCTGGTGTATATGTTTCTAAATATGGTTCTAATCCATTTATTGAAGTATTGATATTATCTATTTTTGTTTTAATATCCGTTGAAAAATCATTATTTGTAA